CTTTAGCACTTACAGCTCATGGAGATCAGGGGGATTGTCCTAATATCAGAAGGGGAAAGGAATAATTTCTTTACAGAATGACTAGAAAAACCTGTGTGTAGGAAGCTCCTCTTAAATACCCTTCTACACCGCTTTCATCCCATCAGCAATAATGACTTTGGTTAAAAATGCTGAGATCTATGCATAAACTCAGTACATAGAAAAAAATTTTTAGAAAAAAATTATATGTCTATGTAAAATGGTGGGGGAATGTTGGTTTACTTGGGAAGGTTTACTTGAACTCCATATTTGGTTTAGCAAAAAACATGTAATCTTTGAAAAGTGCTATCTTTAAGCAATGCTTCAGGCAACGCTGCAAATAACAGGAAAACACTACCTCAGTGATACTGCCATTTCTGAAAAGGTCTGCAAATTAACTGGCACCTAGTTAACAGAGCAGTGTTTGGTTTGGCCACCCAAAAGACATACATAAAAATTTTCAGTGAAAAAAACTAACAAAATCAATCAAATTCAGTTCTATCCATACAAAAAAGAGCCAGAGGGAACAGGGGGCAGGGATGAAGTCAAAGGCTTAAGCTTCTCCTTTTGGTGACAGGGACAATAAATCTGAAAGATCTGCAAATCAGCTGGTCCTGTGGATGGCTGGGGAGGCCACTGACACCTTCAGTGACATTCCTCCCCCACAGCAACACCAGCCTGCTGAACCTCTGTCTCTGCTCCCTGGCACACTCAGCTCCAGGACTGCGCTGCAACTGAGCTGGAAAGCTGCTAAAGGGATACTCCCACCCTGGAAACAGCAGGACTCCGCCTCAGAGACACAGATACCCAGCATTCCAACACCAGCCTTAAAAAAGAATCTGTATATTTATGTGCTTAGCTACAACCAAAAGGAAAGATAAAACAGCTCCACGTTGAAATGAAGCAGCTATTGAAGTAACTCATCATTAAATCTCGATTTCTAATATTGACTGCTAAGTTCATTTACCCATAAAAGGACATTTTACTGCTTTTGCTGAGTGTAAAAACTAAGTGTACTCAAGGATACTTCATTGTCAAACACTAATGAATGAAAATTAATAACCAAAGCAATATTTTTAAAAGGTCTTACTAAACTACCTGTGAAAGGCAGCTCAATAAAGCAACTTTTCCCAACTTTTCAACAGGGGAAGCACAAAGACTGCACAAAAATAAAACTTGCACAGTGCCTCCAGCATTACTGAGTACAGTTACAAAAACAGGAAAAGAATATCTTAGTATAAGACAATAAGTAAACCTTAGAAGAGAGCAATGTGTTTTTCATCACTGCAGTTCCCTTTCCTGTTAAAGACTAGTATTTTAGGAAGAAATTTACTTAGCCAGAAAATAACGAATCACATAGAATTTGGTGAGGAAAAAAAACCTTTTATGGTAGTTCTTTTGCTGCCATTACACAATTTTTTTGACTTTTCCTTAGGCTGCAGAGATGAGGTTCCAAAAATGGTAAGGCAATCGACCTTGACATTGCCCCTGGTATGCTGCAAGCATAAATATCCCAGAGAAATATAACAGCACAACATAATCTACCTGCATAATGGAGTTTTTTGTGTGTATATATATATAAAAATATATATACGTTTTGCCTATCAAGCATATAGCTTCATTTTTTCATGTAGTATTTTACATGTCTTTCCTTTTTATTACCTGTATTATCAACAATGATTTTTTCACATCAACTTCTTTAGTCAGTGTCTGGTCTCCTATTTACCAGGTATTTTATAAATCATAAATATCTTCAGGCACATGAAAGTGGCAGCCAGCTTTAAAAGTATCATTGTTTAATCAGGTTTTCATACAAGAACATGAAAACTTTATATTATGACAGAATGAAAATCAAAAGTGACAGATTGGGTGACTGGAATTTCTGTGACTTTTTTAATCCAATAAATGCCCAGCCTTCTAATTCAGGAAGAGAATTTAGCACCAGCTGGAATCCTCAGACAGCATTAGTAAACAATAACAAAACATCCCTCAAATAAAAATTTTAAATCATGAGTTTAGAAGAAACTTCCATAAAATGAAACACACATACTGAATTTAAAGATTAATATGACTGATCAGGTCAAATCCTGTCACCTGGGAAATAGAAAGAAGAAAAGCAATACTTAAATTTGCTGAGGATATTTAATTTCACAGATTCCAGGAGACTTCTAGAGAATAGGGTGAAATGTGACTTTACATTTCACTGCTGAGGTTCAGAATCCAGGTAAGCAAATTAGTGTTCCTGCATCAATAACATGAAACCAATGTTCAACAAACCAAAAAACTTTGAAAAGGGGTGAAGAACCTTGAAACCTACAAGCTGCTTCCTACAAGCTATTTCACTTATATTCTCTCCCTCCAAGAACAGCCTGAGGGAAAAGGAAATTTCTAGTTCCACCCAGCAAATCCACACACTAAACACGATGGCAAAGAGGAACATATTGCTAACTGTGCCCTTCAGGGTGAGCAAACTTTGTGGTGCAGCCCCTGAGGCAAAGCCCTACCTCTGACCCACCATTTTCAGGCAATAAACTTGAAGTTGCTGTACATCAACTGCACTTGCTGAGGTCACAGAAAAAGGGTTCAACTAAGGCACAACTGAGCCTAATGAGTTTGCTCGAGTGTTTGACACATCTGAAGTTACAGTTCCACAGTCACAACACATACGCTGCCTACAGCATGGCTTCAGTGAATGTCAGTACGACTTCAAATACTTGCTAGAACTTTTCTTGAATTCCAGAAGGTCCCATAGAAACTTGTCATCAGAAATGCCAATGAAAATCAGAAGCTCTAAGTGGCCAACTCTGGAGCACAGATATAAAATGACTTTACTGGTAAGAAACCAGTCCTGTGAATTGTGAGAAATAAGATATTTTGTTGCTCCTTGTCTAAGTCTTGCTTGCTGAGGGCCTACTAAGCAGGAAAAAAAATGACAAAAGAATGACAAAATTAAATTAATCCAAGTCATGTTTGTAGGAAGAGTTGGGGTTACACAACCACACAGAGCAGCAGTGAGCCAAAAGAGCCTCCCAAAATAAACATGAACTTGTCAAAAGAAGGCAGCAATTACGTTCCTCCTGTAGACATGGAGCATTATGAGATCCATGGAAAGGACACTACTCATCTTTCCCTAATATCTGTGAGAGCTGGGTGTCAGCAACAGCTCAGCTCAGCTTGAAGAATATTTCAAGTCATGTTTGAATCTACTTTGAAGACATGCAGTGCCAGAAACTAGAATATGAACATTTTAGACATCAAGTAAGCAGCTTCGAAATTTGGATTTGAAATTGTTCACTCAAGTCCTAACCCAAAAGGACTATCCCAGAGAACAGAGTGTGACATCAGGGAACTAACGCCAAGGCTGAGTTTGATTGACAGAATACTACTTTATTCCATTGTTTCAACTTTCTTACAGGTTTAAAAAAAATGTACAGGGGTTCAGAACCACCTCAACAGAACAAAGAGTACAGTATTAAGGGAGCTCTAGAGTCAAACCACAAGTGTGCACACGTGGTCAGCTTTCATTACAAAAAGTAATAGGCACAATCTTTACATACGCATTTTGGTGAAAGAAGGAATAATAGTGCAGTGTTAAAAGGCACCAATAATCAATAATTGTGCCTTTTTTAAAAGCCAATAACCATCTAAGAAAATTACATTTGGTTCAAAGTTATAATTTAAATATTGTATTGACTGGCATGCATCTGAACCCCTGGCAATTTATTACACAAACCTAATGCCTGCCCTCACAAAATCAGAAAGATTTCATCAGTAGAGCTGAAAGTCAGTTCAGTACAAAAGGACATACCAAAGCTCTTGGCCTGTATTTAAACTGTCTTGTTCACCTCCTCTGTGAACACTTCTCTAACAAAGAGCTGCACAGAAGTATTTCTCTTAAAGCAAGTGTAAATTTTTTGATGCTGTAGCATTGACCTACTCCATGTGCTATGAAAACGTTAGGCACAGACCACAGTTTACATTTTCTCTTAAAAAAATAAGGTATGTGCAAGTGAGGTTCACACAACAGACTGACAGCTACAACAGTAAGCTCTTAAGATTTCCCAAAGAAAAGGGTCAGTTAATTTTAATTTTCTAAGTAGTGCTGCACACTGCTGTGTGCCATTATCATATCTGTGTTAGGAGCACCAGTAAGGAAAAGCTTCAGTACGCCCTAAAGGACACCACATCGACACGGTGTGCTGATTGAACTGGGTCAAGAGAGTGAATAACTGGAGAAATCATTGTACATGGGCAGCAGCAGCCAGCCAGGGAGGGCTACTGCTTCCTGCAGAAAGAATGGTTTGGAACTCAGGTTAACTCGCAGGTGCCCTCAAACTCACCCACCTGCACACAGTGGAATAGAGGGATGCACAGTATGGGAAAAAAAGGGGAAATGAGAGAGCTTCTGTGTAAGTTGTACCAAAAAGTGCCAGTTTATCCCAAAGTGTCATGCCCGGGGTAGGGTTTATGCACTGCAGATTCTTTGTACAACTGAAAATTGTACATTTTGTGAGCAAAGACAGAGCTGATTATTACCTGCAGTAGCTACTACAGTCCTCAAGTATATAATTTATGGATAGCTGCATACTGTGGTGTTGATTGCTTCCTCTTAAATGTAGCAAATTTCTGAAGGCTACAGTATATTCTGACACAAAGACAACTTGTCTACAAGGGGGAAAATGTAAGACAGTAACTAACTAATTTGTTTTACAAGGAACCTCCTCTGATGTGCTAGTTACTTCATGCCCTTTGGAAGATTTTTATTTCTGACTTTCTTCATCATCTCTGTTGAATTGCTCTCACGACAATTTCACAAGAGTTCAGTGACCCTTCTTACAGCTGCCTTTACCTTTTCCAAGATCCCTTTTAAATTCACTCTAACACCACGGCAAGCTGTTCAAGTAAACATTTCTCTCTGGCAAGTTTCCAGATACCACAAATACTATCAAAACTCAGCATTTGATTACATGCACCAGTTTTCTTTAAATGGAGCAGGAATTAGCCCGTTTCCTCGGTTTAGGGTCCCGTACATGTCTGTCTTTTGAACACATACAAGATGAACATATTGTCTCTGACAGTCTCCGCAGTCCCAGCCTGAATACGCTGTTGGAGAGGCTATATATCACACAGTTGCAGAAACTATTGCTTATAGCAAGCCATGTAGTTAGGAAGGAGAGTGCTGGGTTTTCCAACACCCTAGAGCTTTCCAGCAGAAAGTATATGATATAAGGGAGCCACAGCACGTAGAACACACTGGTTATCCGGAACAAAACCATGGCATAGCGGCGGTCGGGGCTGTGCCCAGTCTCCCCAGCAGCATCCCCTTCGTGGTTAGGAAACCGAGCTCTCCGATCACTGATCTCTTTGGTGTGCTGCCGGCAAATTTTAAAGATGTGGAAATAGGTGAAACATATGACAAAGGCAGCAGGAGCGTATAGTAAGCACACGATAAAGCCAGTAAAGTAGGCATTAGTTAGCCAGGAGGTAGCACACCATTCAAAAATATCTCCATGGTAACCAGGTTTTCCCCAACCAAAAAAAGAAGGCAAGAAGATCAGGCAAGAATATATCCAGATCAGACTGATGCAGATTCTCAAGCGACAAGGTGTGACCAGTTGGTTATAGGAGAGAGGCTTTGTTATAGCGAGATAGCGATCCACACTGATGCAAGCAAGACATGCCATAGATACACTTTTGAGCACAGAGATGATGTATCCAAAAACTTGACATGTCAAGGACTCGTGGACACCTGTTGAGTAGTGGAGTAGTGACAAAGTAGGAACCAAGCAGCTGACTCCAACAAAAAGATCAGCATAGGCCATGGTCTGAATAAAATAGCTGGTGGTGTAATGATGCAGGAGTGGAGCACAGTGAAAAACAAATATTACAATTAAGTTACCCGCAATAATTAAAAATGTTAGCAAGACAATAACGACTGTCTCAAGGATACAAATGTCAACTGCATTGTAGTGACCAAATCCAAGAGGGCAGGAGAGGTGCTCAGATATGTTCATAACACTATTGCTCATATTCAGAGTCCTCCATTCAATCCATCGGGACTGGTTCATGTTTTGTGCTTAGGGAACAGTGCAATCTGAGCCTTAGTGAGCAGCTGATCTGCTCAACAGCAGCTAAACTCTGCTTCAGCGTCTCACGGTCTCTCTTTGCAGACACTGCCAGTGCTTACATGTGAGAGGATTAGAGTCCCATAGCTGTTGATGCCTCCTCAGCATCAGTGCATCACCTCTGGCACACCTTGGCTTTAAGGAAAGAACGAAATAAAGAAAGAAAGAGAGAAAGAAAGAAAGAAAGAAAGAAAAGAAAAACAAAAGCCAGAAAGAGAAAGGCCACTGATCAGCTCCTCCAGTGCTCTTGACCCATCTTTAGCAAACACAAGGCACTTCTAAAACAAATAGAAATAAAAATTGACAAAAGAGACACATTCATTTCCCAGGGAAGGAGGGGGGGAAATCTCTGACTTATTTTCCTGAGAAAGATGTTTACTTTGGAATATACTGGGGAGAGGGAGAGGAAGGGAAGAAGGAACCTCAGGACAGCTCAGGTTTCCTGGACCAGCAGTTACTGGAGATAATATTAATGTCTTAGTTTAAATCACAGACTGATTGGGGATTAAAGAAAAAAGTTCATCCTCTAATGCTGTCTTTTCTTGTTCTATTCAGAAGATGGTACTCCTTCTTACCCATGCTATTCATTGGAAAGGTAAGGAAAACATTTTTGTCAAGGTTAATTCCAATAGACTCACCACTATTTGGGTATGAATAATGAATTTTATTTAGGGGGAGACAGGTGGGGGACGAGGCAGATTTGTCCTCTGGCTCCCAAGAAAGAAAACATACATCTCACATACAATGAGGAAGATCGTATCTATTCATTTAAAAATTAAAATAATTTTAAAGTAGATTTTGGAGACTCGTGTCAGTATTTACAGTTCCTTTAAACAGTTAGTCCATTACAGTTACAAATGCCAGGAATCATAATTCAGTGTCCCCACAGACAAAATAAATCCTCTAGAATTTAATTTCAGCAATGGCAATTTTAAAGAATCATCTTTAGAAACTCTGCCATATCTACTACAGTGGATCAGTACCCAGGAGTTCATAGGTATATCCTTGATATTGCTCACCTCTGTACCAACAACTGAATCATTTCACAAACCCCCACACAAAGAGCTCAGAAACTTCCATCTGCATTCTGCTGGGAAGCTAATGAAATGCTGATTTGACTAGAAAAGCTGCCATTGTTTACTACTCCATTATTCTGTTGCTCAGCTTCATCTTCTCAGGGGTTTAAGGTTTCTATATTTACTAGATGATCTGCATAATAAATAGTTTCTTTAAAAAATTGTTCTTCTATTTGCAGGACATTACCTTGTTCATTTTATTCACAGCGATAGAGAAAGAAAACATTAAAAGAAAGCATCTTCTGTGTTCAGTTTTAAGTAAATGCTTGATTAGTTCAGGAATAACTAGGCAGGTAATTAAATGTATACAATCTTGTTTTTTGAAAGGCCCCTAAAATGTTAAAACCATCATTAATCCTAGAGTTCCTGAGACTAGAAGACTAGCAGTGAAAATTAATGAATCCACATCAAATGATCTCCAAGGTCATTCAGCTGGCATTTGCTTTAAGTCTCTTTAAAAGTACCAGGATCTCTCTGATGTTTCTGATAGTCCTTGCTGTGTCTTCAGGAGGAATTTCAGATACTAGAAAAGCCAAATGTTCAATTCTGTCGCAGCACTTTGAGAGAAAGCATTCTTTTTGGAGTTAATTTCCTGTCGTGCATCGCCACGCTGTACAGAAAGTCCTTTCAGATTTTATAACATCCCCGAATATTTCCACCTATTTGCTCCCTTTGTCTATAAGCAAAAGAGCACGTACAAAATCACTCCTTTCTCCAATTCCCTGCTAAAGCAATAGAGAAGCTTTCTCACCTACACGCATCCTCACCAGCCGCTATGTCCAATACTTGACAGGGAGTCCTGTTACCGCGGTGCGGCTGGAGCGGCTGCCGCTGCCTCCCTGCTCCCCCCATGCGATGATTGCCTGCACCTGAGCCCGCTCCTCCCGCTCCTCCTCCTCCTCCTCCTCCCCGCCGCAGCCCGCCGGGCGCTGGAGCGGTGCCGGCCGCTCCCCGGCTCCCTGACCATCCAATGGCGCCGCCGCTGGCATCGGGAGCGGGCACCGGGACCGGCCCCCGGAGCAGGCACCGGGACCGGGCACCGGGAGCGGCCCCCGGAGCGGGCACCGGGACCGGGCACCGGGAGCGGCCCCCGGAGCGGGCACCGGGAGCGGCCCCCGGAGCGGGCACCGGGACCGGGCACCGGGAGCGGCCCCCGGAGCAGGCATCGGGAGCGGGCACTGGGAGCGGCCCCCGGGAGCGGCGAGCGCGGGTACCGGACCCACAGAGCCGGGTACCCGCGGCCCCCGAACCGCTGCGCTCCGGGAGCCTCAGGGGGAAGCCAGCACATATCTCCTAGAGAGATGTGCATACACAATCCAGACATAATCTAATAAACTACTGTCATCACCCCACTGAAACCGTTTACCAAAACAATCCCACGTTATTAATTGTGCGCACACCTTTTGAGCATCACCTGCTGAGGTTTAGCTTGGTAAAATATCTGCCACAGTTCTACACAAATTTTCCAGTCTTCCTTAAAAGATAAAATTACAGCCCCCTTTTTAATTATGTCCCCAAATTAATTACTTTCAAACTTAACACATATGTTACAAAACTCACCTGTACCCATTTTTGATACTGTACCAGTATTACCAGTACCCTAATAGTTTCAACATCAGTTTAAATATAAATACTTGTAACACATTATTTTTCAAACTGAACCAATTAACTCAGCTGTCTACTCCTGCAAACAGATGCAGCTATTCCCTGATTAAGTACTCAGAACTTTTGTTTACTTAGTGCTTCCTAAAAATAAACCCAGTCACAGAAGTACAACATCAAAGTTACCTTACACAGATACTCCGTGCATCCTTTGACACTGAAACAGCAAATTTAGATTCCAAAACACTAACCACAGAACAGCATTTTGGGCTATCGATCAGCCCAAGACGTGTCTTAAGGCTTTAACCAACCAAGTCATTAGAAACTACAGTGATTTAAGTCCTTCTAGTTCCATGGTAAACCAAAGGCAAAATTTTAATAAGCTGCTCCTGAGTTAACATCTTGTATTTTGAGTATTGCCTGGAGCGAATGTCCAAGTCTGAATGACAAGTCTGTAGCAATGTGAAGCAGCACAAACTGCAGCACTATAAGAGTGGTTTGCAGTAAGGGCATGTGATCATTCCAAAGTCTTCTATAAGAGGATTTAAAAAAAATAAAAATTAAACTATCTCTGATCCCTCAGAATGGTAAATGGCTGCAACAACAGACTTAATGACTAAATTTATACCCTGAGCACAGCTTTAAGCCCCAGTTATCCATAACAGGGCAGAACAATAGGGAGCAATTTTTATTCCTCCTCTTCACACTCTTCCTGTGGGGGAGGAGGAGGAGAGCAAACAGTGTGCACAGACATGGCAATGACCAGTATTTCTCCCACTTCTCCTTGGGACAGATCATGGTTGGCAGCAGAGATGTAAAGGGCCAAAACACCTTAAAATGGACATTAGGGAGCCCCAAAGGCACAAAATAAGCAAAGGTACAGCCTGACAAAGCAGACCACAGGAACTATGTGGTCAGTACATCCTGCTCCACACAGATTTAAGGACTGATAACTACTAAAGCTTCCAAATGTCACAGTAACCATTGAGTCACCTTGGTCTCAGGTCAGCCGCAGCTGTGTGTGCCCAGCTCTGAAAACAAGCACTCCATATGTTTCAGGTCTGCTACGAGAAATCCAGGCTCTGCTGAGCAGGTAACAGCAAAATCAATGGCAACCTCTGCTGGCTGGTTCTAGACGCAGGTAAAATGTGTTCTCTAAAGAAATTTTAACTAAGGGACAAAGTGGTTCAAAAGCAGGGAAGTTTGACTTCACTACCAAAAACCATGCAGCAAGCTGCCAGTGACTTTATCACCTCAGCCACTTGCTATAAACTGCACCATACTGATGGCACTAAGTTGTACTGTTTTACATATATTTAAAGGCAAGTGAAAATTAAGCAGAAATCAGCTAGTCCTGATAAAACTGTACAGTTACAGAGGGAATTTTACAAAATGTAGCAATACCAGAATGTTTTATCAGAGGTGGCACGTTAAAAGCTCTATGAGAAAAGTTTTTTTCTTTGGAGATTAGAGGCACGTTTGGGCCTCTGGCACTGTTTTAAACAAAACCTGCTTCAGGATTTTTTTAAAATTTGTGTTTTAATTGAAGGAAGTGAGAAAGAGAAAAGCTCTGTTGGAAGAATTACCTTACCGTCATCAAGGCAGCATCCTACATGGTGCACAAGTTCCCACAGCTGGTTATATCCAGCTGGTGGACTAGGCACTCTTCAGGCTGAATAGAAGGAGCAATTCCACACCTTCTTTATATATTACATCAGCTAGAAACAACACAAGTCCCCATACAAAACAGAAGGCTCACACCATCTGATCCTGCTGAAAACAGAGGGGATGTGATAGGAGCATAAGCTTTGTATATGCAAAGCAAGGCCGTGAAAGCAGTGGTGATGTGTGACCCTGAAAGGAAACCAGATAAAGCTTCTCAGACAGTAGAAGTCCATATGGAAGGAGATTTAGAAGCTCCAAGCAAGAAAACAACCTATTAGTCATTCTGTTTGGAAAGGAATAGCAATATTTGTTTGCTAAATCCTTTGTTGTAAGGAAAGAGGACTGATAGAAGCAATCCCTGCAGTGCACAAAGCAGCATCTCAATCACACCAGTCATTTCTAGTTTGAAGTATTCCCTTGTTAAATTATTGGATGATCAGCTGGATTAAATGGACAACAATAATTTCTGTAAAATCTTTTTGAAAGGCATTGATGAGAGCAAGGAGGTGCAGCTCAGTGCAGGATGAGGAGCACAGTAGCTATTTATTTAGATGCAGACCTGAATGACAGTGTTGATACAAATACCAGCTCATGAGCTTC